ACTTATTATTTTTTTTTGCCAAAAGAAAGCCGTTCTATTCCTTTATTTTTCTATGTACCTACACATTTCCATGTATAATTAATTCGAAGCAAAAACTTATACTTTGCGAACATCTCAACAATAATAGCATCTGGTTGTTGTGAACTACCTAGACTCGTGTTGAACATGTTTGTTTAAAATCGATCATTTCTAAGTGGAAATCTTCTTATTGCGAAACATGTAATAAAATTTTTGAAGTTAACTTTTTTCTTGCTCGTAACCTTACGTGATATGATGAAAATGCAAGAAGAGAATACTTCTGTATAGTAAGTACTTTTAACTGTGTTTTTTTATGCGTACACTAGACAATTCCTTTTTAATGATCTTAAGTCGTTCCATTGACTTGCTGAACTTCCTATAAAGGTTAACAGTTGAATATCTGTTATTTTTATTATGATATTAGAGCAAAAGAAACGCAGACAGACCTCTTACATGTAGGTCAGATCTTCAAAAAGAAGGTCTGTATATGCTCCGTCAGTAAAACAAACACATAAGTATTCTAAATTGTTCTTTTAAAATGATATAATTATCTATGTATAATTAATTATGTAATTGAATGCAGTATATTTTAATGTTAAAGGATAATTTGACTCTATCCATTTGTTCATTTTTTCTAATCCCCTTAATTTTGATTTGTTAGAATATGCTGACAGAACGACAACTAAAACGTATGCTAAATTTTACTCTACGTAGCGTAAAATGTTCAGATAACATTATATTGAATAGAAACTATTATATCTCTATATACTATGATCAATTCAAAATCATCTGATATGATATTCATTTTTTAGCAAACACATAATATGAATAAAATGAAAAGAATATTTCTTGCATAAACAACAAAAGTAATTTTTAGAATGTGTTTATAAAGACGAGAAGTAAAATCATCTGGTTGAACTGTAAGTTTTGTTTGGTAGTTAAACATATAAAAGTATTTTATTCCTGAGCATTAAGTTTATAATATACTTTGATATCATATGCCATAAAGCACGCGATAAGAGGAGAATGTAGATGTTGGTACTCTTTTCATGTAAATCCATACCATGCTCAGAAAATAATTTCATCTTTCGAACATTGTAAAGTTCTCTTCACTAATCATCTTTTTAGATAGACGATTGCCCATTTCGATTAATAAATAACGATACTAGTATCAAAATGCTTATAAGAAACTGATCTCTATCAATCAAACGAGTTTGAGATTTTTCAATAACTTGATGCTAGCATCGTTATTTACTAATTGAATTAGTATTTTGTTTATCAAAATAATCAACAAAAAAAAGCATTACGAAGCTTGAAAGACGAAAAAAATTTCTGAGAGCTACATATCTTTGTAGTTGGCTACTTGTGAAGATGGTGCCTAGTTTTATCAATAAAATTTTGAAAATTTCAACAATTTTATAACTCATCATCACTGTATTGACTATCCAATTGTAGTGCTAAACTCCATTCTCGAAGAGGTTTTTTTGGTATAGAAGTCATTGAAGATAATATTTGTCATTAGGGTTGTACTCAGCCAACATATATTTGGCGATCCTGTATTTTGTTTTTTTCTCTAAAAATAGTAAAGATTTTCGATATCTTAGCAATCGAAACTAGATACTGCGTATTAGCAACAGTTGCATTTGATATTTAATCCAATACTTATTTAAAAAAAAATAAGATAATAAAACTAATGAAGATATCAAACTTCTACATTTTAGTCACAACGGAGTTGCTCTATCAAATTTTTCTTATAATAAAAATCAACTAGATGTGCTTGATGTTAAGAGATTAACATCGTAGAATTAAGCCTATTGTTTAACAAACAGATAATCATACTTAGGACAATTTCAACAACATATTATTCTAAAAATAAATCTTAGGCAACTGGAAGTGATTTCAGTAATCTGTTATTAATTAAACAAAAAATTTCTCGTTTGTGTGCGTAACTAATATTATAATGAACTAACATTAGGAAATGTTGGATTTGAAATTTCATCATTGATTATTGGTCTTTGGATATATTTTGTTGGTGTTTTTTTTTTCTGAGAATATTTCATACTATCGGATAGTTACCATTCGCACTAGTCACATCTGGTAAGTATGTGTGGTTATTAGTATTCTATATTATAAATGTTGTTCGTTCTTTAATTTTACGATAAGATTCATTTATATATGGTCATACAAGTTTTTCATCTTCGGTTGCTATTATTGATAGGTTATAAATTAAAAGCATGTAGCTTGACTTTATTGATTGGAGCATGTACATTAGTTACAATATCGATTGTTTTCAGTATATCCGATTTTTCCTATAAGTTTTAATTAATTCTGAAAAGATACCATTAGAGCAATTTTTCTTATATATGAATGTCATTGTTTTTATTCATATTGAGTGTGGGGCGTAGGTGTCAGCGTGAGTGTGGTAGTGGGTATGGGTCGGGATCGGGTGGGTGTGGGTGTCGGTCGTTTCTTCAGTTGCAGCCACATTCGCACCCCCGCCAACACCGACACCCACATCCACACCCACACCCCACAATGAATTTATTATAATGAATTTCTTGCATTGAGTTTATTATAATAAATCTATCACAAGCAATTTACTCCAATGCGCTTCTTAGAATGAGTTGGTTACAATGAATTTACTATGATGAATTGATTCCAATGACTTTATAATCAATTATATTATGATCATTTTATGATAATGAATTGTATTACAGTGAATTTATCAGTATTAATTCATTAGAATAAGTTTGTTATAATAACATATATTACACTGATTTTTTGACAATGAATTTTTCAGAATGAATTTATTATAATGAATTATATTGCAATCAGTTTATTGTAATGATTTATATTACAACGAATTTATTATAATGAACTACATTACAATGTGTTTATTACAGGGAATTTATTATGATGAATTTGTTACAATGAATTTGTTACAGTGAGTTTATTATAATAGATTGTGTTAGAATGAGATTTTTACAATGCATTTGTTATAATGAAATTATTGCAATGAATTTATTAGATTGAGTTTATAAGACTGATTTCATTATAATGAATTATATTACAATGAACATATTAGAATAGGTTCATTACAATGAATCTATTACAATGAATTATATTACGATGAGTTATATTACATTGAGTTTATTATAGTGAATAATATTATAGTGAGTTTTTAGAATGAATTTATTATACAGGAACTTGTTACAATGGATTTAGACTGAATTATATTGCTATGAGTTTCAATCAGTTTATTATAACGAATTTATTATAATGAGTTTATTAAATTGACTTTATTATATTGAATTCTGTTACAATTAATTTATTAATATGATTTATATTACAGTGAACTGATTACAACGCGTTTATTATAATGAATTTATTACAGTAAGTTTATTATAATGAATTGTGTTAGAATGAGATTTTTACAATGAATTTGTTACAATGAAATTATTGCCATGAATTTATTCGATTGAGTTTATAAGAATGATTTTATTATAATGAATTATATTACAATGGATATATTAGAATGGGTTTATTACAATTAGAGCGCAGCGGTTCTACCCGATACCCGGAACCGGAACCGCGGTTCCCAACAATGAAAAAAAACGGTTCCATTTTCGGTTCCTAAGAATTCTTTGGAACCGTTTTGAAGTTTTTTATCAATGGCATATGAAATAATTGATTTTTTCGCAGCAAATTTACATTCCTTACTTTCCGAAATTGTTCATATTATACTCTTGAAAATAATTTTTTTTCAAAAACAAGCAAAAAGAGCGAACATACGAAAATCGCTGTAATACAGTATGTTTGCATCAAATGGTCATCGGTTTAATGAGTTATACTAAAACTTGTTTTCTTTGTTTCGTAATCGTCATCACAAATAACAATATCAAATATTTCGTCTTTTCCAATTCTTTTCTTGCTGCTGAAGTTCTAAGCTATTCTTGATTGTGCAATGCAACGAAGTGGATTGTTGATCACAATCGGTAATCTTCCTTTTCCGATCAGTTGGAGTAGTTCCATTGAAAATTTTCTTACTAACTTTATAGCAAAATTAGATTTCTTTATCAAAATGCTGTGTTCACTTTTTCTGCAGTACCCATACCTGAAAAAGCTTTCCTATCATCTAGCATTATAGTAACATCAAAACTCAAAGCAATAAGTGAATGGAAAATTTACTAGGGTCAAAATAACTAAAGTTGAATAAGCATAGACGAATATAGTTATCAGTGAAAGCTTCACGGTTCCAACGGTTCCGGTTCCGGTTCCAAACTGATTTTTTTTAACGGTTCGGTTCGGTTCCGGGTACCAAAATCTTGAAAATTCGGTTCTCGGTTCCGTTTTTTTTGGAACCGCTGGGCTCTAATTACAATGAATTATATTACGATGAGTTATATTACATTGAGTTTATTATAGTGAACAATATTATAGTGAGATTTTTAGAATGAATTTATTATAAAGAATTGTATTACCTTGTGTTTATCATAATGAATGTATTAAAATGAATTTATTACATTGACTTTAATATAATGAACTATATTTCAATGAATTATATTACTTATATTTCAATTGTTAATAAGGTATGTTGTTGCTTCTATTTTTTTTTTGTTAGAGAGAAAAATTGAGAAATGGTGGAGTAGAAACCAAAATTGTTTTTTTTTCGTGAGAAGGTTTATCTTATTTTTTTTCTTTCTAACCTAGCCTGTCAGGTGGCTTTGTAACTTGACCCAGGAAGATTCCTTTGTGTCTGTGATGGCGAAAGCAGTCTTGTACTCGGAAAGGCCTTTTGTTCGAAGGTTCCTGTCGTCATTATGTATGATATACCTACGTTCATGCCCTACCAGTGCGGCGTGGTCCGCTCTGCGTGTACCCATTTCAGACGTACAGAGTCTTCCTGGTCGCGCGTACGCGAGAAAAGCCGAAAAAGAAAGTGAATAGCAATTCAATTTATGGAGCAAAGAAGAAAAAAACAATTACATGTTCTTTCGAATATTTTCAAATGTTTCTTTATATTCGACGAGATGTGGATGAGTTGAAGGTAATTTTTCTTGAGCAATTTCTATCGCTTCTTGAATATTTTTCATTGCCATATTATATTCTTGAGTGGATAAATATAATTTTGACAAATTGTGATATACGACAGCTAAATCAGGATGATTTTTTGACAATTTCTTCTCACGTATTTTTAATCCTTTTTCAAAATATGTCAATGCTGTTGAATAGTCTTTCATTTCTCGATATGTTTCACCTAAATTTATATATGTTAATGCACAATCCAAAGGATTACATTGAACATTTTCTTGAATATTTAATGCTTTTCGATGAAATGAAAGTGCTTTTTCATAATCACCCATTAATCGATGAACATCACCAATATTACTATATGTCATAGCTAGATACGGATGATTTTCACGTAAAGCTTTTTGACGTATTGAGAGACACTTTTCGAAATGCTCAAGTGCTTTTGGATAATCTTTCATAACACGATAAACCTTTCCGAAACAGTTGTATGAAGTAGCCAATGAGGGATGATTCGACGGCAGAGCTTTTTTTGTGATTTCTAGATCTTTTTCGTAAAATTCAAGTGCTTTCGAGTAGTCACCCATGTTATTATACACTTGACCGATGTCGCTGTATGAAGTAGCAAACCGAGGATGATTCGGAGGCAGAGATTTTTCTTTTATTTCAAGTGATTTTTCGTAAAATTCAAGTGCTTTCGAGTAGTCACCCATGTTATTATACACTTGACCGATGTCGCTGTATGAAGTAGCAAACCGAGGATGATTCGGAGGCAGAGATTTTTCTTTTATTTCAAGTGATTTTTCGTAAAATTCAAGTGCTTTCGAGTAGTCACCCATGTTATTATACACTTGACCGATGTTGCTGTATGAAGTAGCAAACCGGGAATGATTCGGAGGCAGAGCTTTTTCTTGAATTTCAAGTGATTTTTCGTAAAATTCAAGTGCTTTCGAGTAGTCACCCATGTTATTATACACTTGACCGATGTTGCTGTATGAAGTAGCCAAATCGGGATGATTCGAAGGCAGAGCTTTTTTTGTGATTTCTAGATCTTTTTCGTAAAATTCCAGTGCTTTCGAGTAGTCACCCATGTTATTATACACTTGACCGATGTTGCTGTATGACGTAGCAAACCGGGGATGATTCGGAGGCAGAGCTTTTTCTTGAATTTTAAGTGATTTTTCGTAAAATTCAAGTGCTTTCGAGTGGTTACCCAAGTCACTGTACACTTGACCGGTGTTGCTGTATGAAGTAGCAAACCGGGGATGATTCGGAGGCAGAACTTTTTCTTGAATTTTAAGTGATTTTTCGTAAAATTCAAGTGCTTTCGAGTAGTCACCCAAGTCACTGTACACTTGACCGATGTTGCTGTATGAAGTAGCCAAATCGGGATGATTCAAAGGCAGAGCTTTTTCTTGAATTTTGAGTGATTTTTCGTAAAATTTAAGTGCTTCCGAGTAGTCACCCATGTTATTATACACTTGACCGATGTCGCTGTATGAAGTAGCCAAATCGGGATGATTCGAAGGCAGAGCTTTTTTTGTGATTTCTAGATCTTTTTCGTAAAATTCAAGTGCTTTTGAGTAGTCACCCATGTTATTATACACTTGACCGATGTTGCTGTATGAAGTAGCCAAATCGGGATGATTCAAAGGCAGAGCTTTTTGTTTTATTTCAATTGATTTTTCGTAAAATTCAAGTGCTTTCGAGTAGTCACCCATGTTGTTGTACACGAGAGCAATGTTGTTGTAGGTGGCACTCAGATCGATATCGTCTTCGGAGGCATTTTGTTCTTTGATGTCGATTGCTTTCCTATAAAATGTAATTGCTTCTTCGTATTGTCCTTGGTCGTTTTTCGCCCATCCGAGTTGATGGTAGATATGTGCTCTTTCCGTATCGTCTGATGTCTGTTCGCGTAAGGTGAGATATAACTCTTCAGCCTTGTCGAACTGACCTATTTGTAGTAACAATTGCCCCATTCGATCCCATCCTGTGCCGCTGACGTCTTGGCGTATAAAATCGGATAACTCACGAAGTTGTGGGTCATCATCGGCGGTTAGTTTCAGATCTACTTCATGAATGAAGTTGTTGTTGTCGGTTTTTCGAATGTCAACAATTCGAAAAACTGTATGCATTGAGAAGAGAATTTCGTCTTCACCTGGCATCTCGCTCACCTCCTTGATGGAGGCGAATGGAGTCGTTGAAACTGTAGGATCAATAGTAATGATGAAAAGGATACTGACCTTGCCGGTTGTATGTGAACCTTCCTTGACGAATTTGAGTGAGACATCACGTATGGTGCTGGTAGATAAAAAGTTATTGAAAGAAATTAGCCCGCCTTTATTATTTGCGAGCGTTTCAAAATCAGCTTTCGATACACTTTGTCCTCGAAAGACTGTAAAGATCTTGTCACGATAGTCACTGACCTGGTTCTCGTGCATAGTTTTGATTTGTCGATGCACATCGCATAAAAAGAAACCCATTCGTATCATAGTATCACCGTTGAGTGTTCTTAATGCAGCATTCAACATTTTGTATGTAAAACATTCTCTTGTATACCACTCTATGGCATTGGATGCTTGATAATTTTGTTGAAATTCGTCAATAATTTGGAGTTCTTTTGGATTGTCATGATATTTTTGTTGACAATACGTGACCAAATCTTGAACGGCTTTTTGGTCATATTCTATTTCAAGGAGTATTTCCTTGAATATCTGTGAATACATAAAAGAAGGTTCTAGCTGATCCAGATCTTTGCTAGAACCTCCCTCATTAAGACTGACAATGCTCACCGGTATATTGTCTTGGTTGCACTGTTTGATAGCTGTTGCGAGCCCTTCACATATAGGTTTCATTGTTGTATGCACACCATTGATTTTTGGCCAATTTTGAGTCCATAATTGATGTTGTTGTTCGTCGTCACAATAGATAAAAATGGCATTCAATGTTTTCTTGTCATGGATGTCTGGTACCAAGTGTTGTCCAATTGCATTAGAGGAGATAATGAATGAGATCTCCTCTTCATTGTCAACCAATTGTTGAATGCATTGTTCAGCTGTTGTACATTGTTTCACTTGATTTACAACAGCTTTCAATTGTTTCATTATGTTTTGGCAATCTTGATTTGCCATGTCGATATTTTCATCGACCCAGATAACCAAGTAATCTTCAACGATGGGCCGTTTTCGTTGTTGATTCATTTCTGATGTAAGGTTTCGTATGCGATTGGTAACTGTGTAGTGCTAAAAGTAAATGGCTGTTTGGACAGAGTTTACCTGTAGTATTTATACATTTGATGCACGTTGTGTTTTTTTTCTAGATTTTTCTCCGATGTAAAACATGAATATTTTGTTTTTTCGTTTACACTCAATAACAAAATATGCCTAGTAGTAATTGAAAGTATGCTTATCAAAAATAAATTAAAGGGAAAAACCCACAACATCACTGATCGTATGATATTTTTTTCCAACTTTCATTAACATTTCAAATGAAGCGTGACTTCAATTTCATTGCATTAGATACCTTGCCTTATGCGTTGTATAATTTTGTTTCATTCTCTGTAAGGAGAACGAAAACGACGGCAAGAACAGCGTCAGTGTAATTTCTTTTTCTCATTATGCATATGATTGACATGCTGATAATGTGAACGAAACAACACAAAAATATAATTTCAATTTTAGTTGAGGCAATAGTTAAACAACGATTTCTACTTGCCAAATACACTGTTATTGAAGTTTGAAAATTATGAAAGATCGAAGTAGTTATCACAAATTTTATATGCATGGAACACCGTAAATGTAGGCTTTAGATATTGGTATAGCAATCGACAAGTAAAAGTTATATATCCATTATCATCCAAATTTCATCTACCCATGTGAAACAATCCTATTGTATGATCTTGTACGATTCTTACAAGATCATATAAGAACGTACATCTGATCTTCCATGATCATACAAAATCATATATGATCTTGTATGATTCTATATGATCTTACTATTAGATCTTATACGATCTTATAAGACCCATGTATGATTTTCCAGAGTTGCATAAAAAGGTATATAGCTCGTTTTTTCTCTTTCATTTTATATGGCTTCCATTTTTAGGGACTGTTTTATCCTAAATCCACTGAGAGTATCAAATAAAATAAATAAGTAAAGTTAAATTTAATTATTGGCTTCATTTGATGCATTTATGTGCAAATAAATACATCAAATAAAATGAATATTTTTTTATTAAATAAATATTTACTTTGTTTCATCTAATCGTCGATATTATCTAAAATAAAAAGAAATAGAAGATTTAAATTAAAGAAACACTCACTTTATTTGGCTACAGAGTTGATGTCATCTAAAATAAAAAGAAACAATTTAAAAAAAAATTACTTCGTTTGGTCTGATCGTAAATATTACATAAACAAAATAAAGGATAATTTAAATTAAGTAAATATTTATTTTCTTTATATTAATCGCGGATATCATCTAAAATAGAAAAAAGACAATTTCAATTAAATAATCGTTTACTATATTTGGTTTAATCGTCGATATTATCTAAAATAAAACTAAATAGACAATTTAAATTAAATAAATACTTATGTTTTTCGGATTGGTCGTTGACATCATCTAAAATAGAATAAAATAAACTATAATTTCAATTTAATACATACTTTCTTGAATTGCATTAATTTTTATTAATTGGTTTGCTTGCACTCTTCCGCCGCTCTATATTTAGTGCTTTTAACAGGTTGATTTATTTTCGTTTCAAATGTGTTCTATTGATACATATGAGCAATTAGAGTAGCTTATGATAAATATATATATATGTAAAAAAATTATTATAAAAGCTACAATTTTAATTATCATTTTCTGATGATAAGTCATTTTTCTTGTTGTTAAGCTTTGTGTTTGTTGTTGCTTTTTTTTCAGATTTTTACGAGAAAAAGAAATAAATGAAATGAAATGGTAGTATTTCTTAATTAAAGGTCATTGGAAATATCAGCACAAAATAGAGTGATAGATGAGGACAACGGATTCAAAACTAATTTAAGTTCAGTTTTAATTGAAGAATAAGAATCATTGGCTAAGATTCTTTTCTGATTTACCTTTCTCAAATGAATCGAAATTTAAATGTTGATTTATGTCAATCATTTTCCAATACTTCGGCATATACAAAAAAATCCTAATATGTACGCCTAGTATAAACAAATGCATGGATTTGTGTAGGCTCCTTCAAGCTGGACAGATAGTGGAAGACTAGAAATTTTCCAAGGCTATGACTTCCTTCGTTCAATGCTTAAATCGAACAGTTCTCTCTTCTCCATCATTGAAAGTTTATTTAATATATTTCTCCGAGAAGAAACTCTGATTAAAAGTGATATTTAATGTATGAGACTTTCATTATAAAAACTATTTACATAAGACAAATCTAAATTATGATCCCATAAGATCATATAAGATCATACAATATGAATCTTACAACATCCGATGTCAGTAAGATCTTGTATGATCTGCGTATGATTTTTTTCACCTGAGTAGAAACATCCAAAAACTTCAGTTTTATCATGTAAAGAATGAATACATCACCACTCACAATTTTGGTAGAGCAATTTTTGATTTTTATTCGTTTGTATTATGTGTATAATAAAAAGAAATTTTGTTTTCTTTGTGTTATGTTAACTGCTATTATTTCATTATTTTCTACAATTCATATAGAAATCATATTCAAATTTTGTTTATTCATATTTAAAACCCGCACAATTTAAACATATGTCACAATGAGCATGAGAAAATCTCCTGTTGTATACAAACAAGCATTTATTGATAGCTATTCTTTGCTTGTATGCATTTGAAAGAGAATCATGTATTCTTGCATATAATTAGCAGATAATGAGAAGAATCCTTCAAAGTTTTTCAGCTAAAGTTGGTGAAGCTATTGAGGAAACAAATCTTTCTTTCTGAATTCAAAAGCAAAAAACAGCATCGCATTACACACTTGATTTCTTTGTTCAAATGCAGCAGTATGATATCATCAATGCTTAAATTGGTATACAATTTTATGGATAAGTAAAGAATTTTCTCTGCCAAATGAAAAAAAAAGAGAATAAATGTGAATCTATGATAAACTGTTATTCGAGTAGTAAAAACTTGCGTTTTTCGTGACTGAGAAACGATCTAGTTATATATTTTTCTTTTATTAACACTCATCTGTAAGTTCATATCAGAATTGATAACATATTACCAACAATGAGCAAATAGTAACATTACATGGCTTTTTTTTCTACATAGAATATTGAAAAATTCACTAAAAGCTTTAAACGCAAAAAATGATAGGAATAATTAATACACTTTTTTAAATTTTATTTTAAACAAAAAACACTTTCTGTTTTTGGATTTAGCATATTTTCTTAAAATCTCTATTTATTACGCAATGGTCTTCATCTTTTATGTAAATCGTTAATATTTTCTGATGAAGTGGTCATTGAAAATGATGATTGTGATGATATTGACTCATTACTTTCTCAGCCATGGACTATGAATATTACGTTATTAGAAGATTTACCTGTGTTACTTGGTGATTCTGTACAGGAATATATAAAATTACTAACAAAAAGAGAAACAATTGAATAATTACTTAGAAAAATTCAAAATATTGATGATAGTTTCGATATAATTTTAACTATGTGAATTTGTGAGAATATTTTGAGAAAAAAAGAAAGTGTTTTCA